CTTAGTTCAAGGGCAGCAGTGGGGACTTGTCTGGGCAAGCACAGTATCACTGCTCAAGCTGCCATATTGCCTTCTCTACCCTTGGAGACTCAATATAGATTTGCTTACTGAGCTGCATATAGGTACACAGCTGCGTGTATTTACCTGTGTGCATACATGGACACATATTTATTTCATTGATGGGGGTCTTTGCCAAGCTGAGAAAGAGCTTTCTCAGGCAGCAGCAACCCAAATGTACCAGTGAGGGCCTGGAGTAGCCAAGGGCAAGGATTCTCAACTGTGCTTGCATGTTAGACCCACCTGGATGCTGTTACCATATACCATATCTTTTGGACTGAGCGAGCCCTGGGCAAGGCTCTCTACTGGTGAGTGTGTGGCCATGGTTGAGAATCAAGGTCCTTTGAATACCAGATGGAACTTAATCCCAGTGACAGCACTGCTGGATGGAAATTCCTACGCCTACAGACCAGGACTCCCTGACCCCACTTCTGCTACCAGCAAATACACCCTCAGTCCCACCACTGGGGAAGACTCACATAAGCATTCTTTACCTCCTTCTGTAAGTCTTTGCTTTCATCTTCCTCTTTTAGAAACATTTGTCTCATTCTTCTCACAAGTCTCCTGCCTGGAGTGTTGGGGCCTTGAGGCAGAACCCAGGCAATATAAATGAGCCCTTCCTAATGGATCTGCCTTACAAAGGAGATGGCAAGCAGTGGAGCAGAGAGCAGGATTTACTTTCAACTGAAAACCACCCCGTAAAAAAAGTGTTTGCAAACTAGAACCTTCCTCTAGCTGTGGATCTGAAAGACATGCTCACACACAGGTTGTTTTCCCATCCCAAGGTAGTATGACAGGGTCACCACTGCCCTAAATGAGTTTTTGATTTTCAGCAACAATCTAATTAGTCTTGACTGGGGCTTGTCCTTTTTTTTCTGCCTATTTGTGTTTGCTTTTAGGGTCAGTAGCTGGTAACTAATTCCCACTAGTACTGAAGCACCCAGACTACCATAAGGGCTGAGCTAATATCCTGTTACAGATGTTATCATAGGCAAAAAGAAAATGGAAAGGGATGTGCTGCCATGGCCAGACATTGAGCAGCATTTTGATGTAAGGCAAAGTAGAGACCCCAAAGATGTCCCAGTTATTTTTGGTCTCCCTGTTTAAAGACAGTGTAGAATGTTTGGCAAAAATAGATCTTAGGATCTTGGCATTTATTAAAGCCTATCCTTGAGTGCTTTATGTTTTTCTCATTTAAAAAAAAAAAAAAAGAAAGAAAAGAAAAGAAATAAGCCCAAGGTCCCTTGGAGAATAAATGGTTGAACAAAACTTCAAACACTGTGTTCCAGAATCTGCACTCTGCACCATTGTGATATAAACCATCTGCATATTTTGTGCAGTCTTAACCATTGTTAAGCATACAGTCTAAACAATGTGGGAGCAATCTGTTAAGCAGCTACAGCGCAGGACAGCGTGGCAGCAGAGGAATGACAGACAAAATTCCACTCTTTCACTCTTCTGACTTAAAAGGCCAGTTTCAGCCAGGCGTGGTGGCTCATGCCTTTAATTCCAGTGCATGGTAAGCAGGCAGGCAGATCTCTATGAGTTTGAAGCCAGCATGGTCTACAAAAAAAAAAAAAAAAAAACAGTTTCCAAAAAGCATTTCCCTACCAAAAGATTGTGTCACTGTAATGTCATTGCCTGGCACATGACCTACAATAAGGGAAACTAACTATGGCCCATGGGCCATGCCAATAGTAAAAAAAAAAAAAAAGAAAGAAAGAAATCAAAAAAATTGTATTTGACAAATAAAATTTCTATGGAATCAGACTTCAGTGTCCAGAAATTAAGATTTATTGAAGCACATCAAAACTTGGGGTTCTGCATTATTAGTATGTGTCACCAGCTGGGCCACACTCATGGAATGAAGCAGTCACAGCAAACACTGTGTGGGTTGACTGACTCCTACAGTAGGAAAGAATGGATAACTAAGCCAAACTGGCACAATCAAAAGATTGTGCCCAGCTCTCACCCCTTTTGAATCATTCCTGCAAGCCTTATCCCAGCATTTAGCACCAGCCAGCTCTACCTTCGGAGAAAGGGAAGACTTCCAGGCAGTTCAGGTAAGGCTTAGTATGAGACCCCCACCCACCCATAGCTTGCCTTGCCCTGCCACACCCTGAAGCTTCAGGACCCCTGTCAATTACTTTAACACAGTATCATCATAGGCCATAAGAAGTAGTATGTAAGAAAACATGTACTTGATTTTGTCTGAAGCGTCTGAACATCAAACTGGTAGGCTAGAAATTTAGAAATGGAGAAACTGAAGTCTAGCGTTAAGGTGTGCTCTATAAAACCTCGTTCTTATTTAGTTCTTCTACACGTATTCTTTTAACCCTAACTTCAGCCTAATATCAGATAATATTGCTCACTTCCCTCTCTTTGAGCATGGAGTCTATGTGCCCCTTTCTTGGTCTCTACACGACACTGGTACCTTTTTACATTCTGTTAAGGTGTTAGATGTTGCAGCTGTGAAATTGTCTTGTTTCTCTTCCCCTGTCCCACCCCCAAAAAGTTGAATTCTTAATGTGGAAAAGAAAATCACCAACACTCAACAAATTGTACATCTATTTTAAAAGCAGCTCATTTCTAACGTGATGAGCAGGGAGCACATAGATACGGTTTCTTCATGTCCCTGGAATCCTGCTAAGAAATAGGGTTTTCAAGGGCTAGAGAGGTGCCTTCACGGTTAAAAGCACTGGCTTTTCTTCCAGAGGATCCAGGTTCGATTCTCGGCACCCACACAGTCTTAAAACCAACCACATGTAACTCCTATGAAAGAGGATCTAATGCCCTCTTCTGGCCTCCACAGATACCAGGCACAAACACACAAGCAGGCAAAACACCCGTACATAGAAAAGAAACTTTTTTTTTTTTTTTTTTTTTTTTTTTTAGTTAAAAAGTCCCAGCTAGGGAAGCAAGCCCCCAGATAGAACATTTTAGAAGAGATGGAAGATGCCTAGCCTAGGCAGAACTTACTGAGTTTCTGAGCACTCCATTCGGATAGCATGAAAGAAGCTGGCCAGAGCTATTGGAGGAAGGACAAGGTCAAAGACAAACTTTGCTCTAGATTGCAGTCTTATTGGTAAAGTGTATTTGCTTGCTCACCCAGATTCATGGTGAAACTGAGTGGTGGCAGGAGTTCCCAGTATTGCAAACCCCGACACAGACACTAGCATTTCTATTTCTATTATTCCTATCAGCCTCTGAGCCCATCTGAGGGAGCGGGGCAGTTACTATTCTTTTATAGCTACAAACAAAAATACAGAGAAAAATACAGGTTTGTCTAAAGCAGTGGTTCTCACCCTTCCTAATGTTGTGACCCTTTAATTCAGTTCCTCATGTCGTAGTGACCCCAACCCGTAAAATTATTTTCCTTGCTATTTTGTAATTGTAATTTTGCTACTATTATTAATCATAGTGTAAATATCTGTGTTTTCCAATGGTCTTAGACAACCCCTGTAAAATGGTTCTTTGACCCCCAAATGGGTCTCAACCCACACATTGATAGCTGCTAGTCTAAACCACTGTGGATCACTCGTAGTGACCACTCCTGAATTTGTTTCTGGAATACAACTACTTTGGTGTTTGTTTTCTGTTCCCCCCTATAATGAAGAGATGGTCTTTTGCCTTGAGCATATATGGGAATAAGTTCATCACTGGTTCTTAACTAGCTAGCATCCATAGACTAGTGATGGGCTCTGGTCCCTCATTTGTAGAGATAAGAGCATCTGCAGCACATGTTCCTGAGGTGACAGTGAGACTTTTCAACCTCCCCACATCATAGATGTTTTCTATTTGTTCCCTGATGTGGGGTGTGGGGATATGTACACACATACACACATGATTAATGTAACCTGCATCTTCCATACAAGGTTGGGGAGACAAAGATTATATTCCTTCAGGTATATTATAGATTCCCTAGTTTAATAGCAGTGCCAAGAGCTACATGGGTCTTGTGATTCCTGAGCACAGGCCAGCATTTCCTGGAGGCCTTGTTACCTGTATGGGTCCTGAAGGTTGAAATGACTGATCAGTCAAAGAAAGCATGTCTGAATGACAATGAGGATACAGATTTCTGGAGCCTTTGTTATGAAAATGAACTTACCTTCTAACCCCAATCTGCTGCCAGGAAGACCTACACATGAACTGTAGCTCATTAAGATTTTTCAGATATACAAAATATCTGTCAAAGTGCCTGATCATATAATAAAGACTTGGGTGTCCAAGCTGGAACTTGCTTTTCCTGTGTTCCTTAAGTTGAGCAACAATGTGTGTCGTGTTCCAAGATGGAAGAGCTGACAATGGAGTCTCCAATCCATCCCTTCTTCCATAAACCTTGGCTTGCCAGAATTATAACACCATCCACTGAAGTGGTGGTTAAAGGCTCTGGATCTTGACCCTATCTGTAAATTCTCTGGGTGTTAATGTTTAGAATAGATGTGTGTAGTATGACCAGTGAGAATTTGCATGGCATCAGGATGACCTTGGTCATCTCGGCATGTGGCAGAAAGGCCAAGTTCTATTCCTCAGCTCGCATTTTGTTCTCTATGGGGTATGAAGAGTGTCATTTAACTCCTAAAGGTCTCTGACTCTTTGCTGAACTTCTTCCCTATGTCCTTTGGCAGTCTCCCCAGTTTCCCTAGGCTTCAGGTGAGTTCAAGGGCAGGAACAACTGCAAATATCTACTGGCTCAAGAGAACAGGACTAAAAGCTATGTGGAATTCAAAGCAGGCTCAAATGATGAGGAGGTGTTTTCCCTAAATATTTCCATTTCCGACCCAGTAAATAGGAAGATTGGAGGGGTTTTTATCCCTGAGCAAAAGGGTAGTGAGAACACACAGCTGTGAGCAGGAGGCCCTGCTCACCTGCTGGCTCAGCTTGGGAGGGTAGAGGCGGCCACTGTGCCAGGCTCTAACACACCTTTCCCTCTGTCACTGCAGGTGTTAACAGAACTGAAATCTGACAATCAGAGGCTGAAAGATGAAAATGGTGCCCTCATCAGAGTCATCAGCAAACTGTCCAAATAGATGAGGTCAGATGTGGGAGGAGGGGCGAGCATTTGCTGCCCACCCTTCGTTTCCAGCTATGGTCTTCCGGCCAAAAGAAGCGAGTGTCTTGGAAGAAGGGCATCTCCCCCTGAACCTCGTCAGTCACCTCCTCTGCACTGTACATTTTCTCTGCACTCTCAATGCCCAGTTACCCCTGCATCTCTATCCCAAGTTTCACAACAGTTTTTCCTGAAGCATGATTGTGACCATTTCAAGCAATCTGGAGAAAGCCTTGTGGGGTACACCAAGCTCAGCTGTGGACCCCCAACTTTTGCCGCTTTGTCCACATTGGTTTCGGTCCAGATATGTAAGGCTTTGATTCATAGCCTTTACACTGACCCACTGTCCTTTAATATAGGAGAGTCTTGTGGTGGCCACTCCAGGATCCCATCTGGGGTGCCAAGAGAAAGGGCAGAATGTAGAGTTGCTCTTTGGACCTGCCTCTGGAGCAGTTTATTTAGAGTCCAAGGTGACTGGGTTCGTGTTATGCACCTCTCAGGAACTGACTTGTTTTTACTTTTCTATCAATAACCTAGGAACATCCCTGACTAGTCTTAACCTTATTTCTCCCTTTCTATAAGATTTAGATTGCCCTGGACTCTCTTGCTCCTTTTCTTTCTGTCCTTTTATGATTTCTCCTCCAGGCCTGATGGCATAAAAACTGAAACAGAGCTCCTGACCTCAGTTGGGGTGTTTTGTAAAATCATCACTCTGTTGCCTTGGTGCCATGACTTCTCTCCCTGCAAAGCTAGACGATGGCTAAGGGTCAGCCTATTGTTCACATCTGAAACTTGTCTGCTTACAAAGTGGTTTTTCTGGATTCCTCCAGTAGTATATAGTAGTACACACCTATAATCCCAGCACTTAAGCTGAGGCAGGAGGATCAGGAGTTTGAGGCCAGCTACATAGCAAGAAAAGGGAAGTCTGGGTATTGAATATTCCAGTTGTCCTTGCTTTATTTTCTTTTCCACACAGGCACCTGCTCCTAATGAGCAAGAAGGCCTGAGGGAGAGTGGGTGGAAGCTAGACTAGAGAATGGAAGCAGGCTAGAGAGACATGAGGAGAACAACTGAGGGCAATTGGAACACTGCGTTTATACTGTGAGGATGGTAGAAACTTGCTTCCTGGTAGTCACCTTCAGGGTCTGAGAGACATTCCCCTTTTTGGAAGCCAACAAGAGAAATGACTGCTAGGTAGAGATTGAGAAAGGTGACTCTTTAAGAGTGGGAAGGCCCACAGATCATGTGACCCAGCCCCCTTGTGTTACAGGGGCCCTTCCCTGTTGCCACAGCTCTGACCTATGGTCAGCTTCTGATAGCTATGCATTATTACTTGAGGCTTGGGCCCCTCTGATAAGCAGTTTTTATTAAGAGAAGCTGGGATCTGCTGCTTCCTGCCAAGACAGCATGTTAGATACAGGTGGATGGTGGTCTCTAATTCCCTCATCCTTTCATCCCTCCTCAGATGTCATGATTTTGATGCCTCTCACACCTTGACTACCATCCTCTAGAGTCTAGACGAAACATCCCTTTAGATTATCATGCCTTGGCCTATACAGAGTACTCATTAATTCCAGCTCTTTAGTTCCTATCTGATCCAGTGCTGCTGGGTATAATGCGGTTTGGGGGCATTTTGTCCTTTGGTTCACATTAAAGGACAGGTCCTTTAATGCCTCATTATTTGGGGATTGCCATTGATGTGGACCATTCTAACACTACCTCTGTTAGTTTCTTTCATAAGGACACCACTGTCCTTTTTGGTGGCCCTTGCAGACTTTGTGTGCTCTTAAACAGAAGTTGTAATTCAGGGTCCCAGTTACAGAAATGGAACAGAAATGGAAACCATGTCCATTCTGACACGCTTTCAGCACATACAATATTCTCTTTTCCATTTCAACCCACTCTTCCAAGGAGTCTGGGTTGGGCTGCTCTATTATCGTGAAGCACTGAGCCCGGGTCTTAGGAAGTACTGAACCACAGTAAGAAGGGCCTGTTTTCTGCTATAGGAAGTGTTCCCTTCTTGCTGGGAGACATCAATAGGGTGTCAGCCAACTGATTCTTCTAGCTTGGCTTGGATATTGGGAAAGAGGAGATTACTGCCTCATTCTTAGAAAAAGAAAATGGGATTTTAGGAAGACAGTTTGAGGCTCCTCCATTCATAGTCTAGGTAAAGGTGTTGCAGAATGCTATGCCTTTGGGGCAAGTTCTCAAAACTCACAAACTGGCATTACACCAGCTGCTGTATGTGGCCTTCCATGTTAAAATGCCATCTCTTGTTGGGAAGGTTACCTTGTGACAAGTTATTTACAAGCTTCTCAGTCTCTGTAGTACTGGAACTTGTGGCTGAGAACCCATCAGAATACAAAGGACCTCAGGTCATTCCAAGCACTTCCTTGTGGGCCACTAATTTTATTAGACAGAAACACTGAATTTGGTCTCTTCCAGAATTCTTCAAAATCACATCTACTGAAAGCCCCCATGAAAGACATAAGCCTTTCGATAGCCAGCTGTCTGGGTGCTGTCTCCTTTTCCTGCATTGCCTGGCTAGTTATATACCGTGGGTCTCTCCAGTGGCCACCAGCCTCACCTGCTGGCTTCCTTGTGAGTGATCTTGCAGCCCCACTGCAGGCAGATAGCCATGCAGGACCCAGCCCTGACACACCAGTCTTCATGGGAAACTAAGATGGGAATGAGAGTGTTCTCATTCAATTGACAGCTTTCAATAGGCAAGCTACCTTTGGGAGTAATGACTGGCCATTCCAGAGCGTCTCTGGCTGGAGTTTGCCTGTTTGCTTCTCAGGGTCTTCTGAGCCTTTCCAGACAGTTCCTGGAGGTGCTGACTTCTAGCTCTATCCCAGTCTCTAAGGGAAAGGTTGTGTACACTTAAGGGTGTTACCTCAAAAGAGGCTGAAAAACAGATCTGTCTTGGGTCCACTCAGTACACTGAATTCTTAACTAGCCTGTTCTCATTTCCTAGAACCTCCTTGTGTCTACCCAACACTGGGACATGTTCTCACCCTCACTCCCCCAACCCCTCACTTCTGCCCCAGGCCTCAGACCCCTACATGCAAGTTCTATGGGATTGCTGGTGGCTTCCACTCAGGCAGTACAGGAACAGAGTCTGTATACAGGTTCATATACACGAGTATATGAACCAGAGATGAAGGAACTCTCCAAGCCATGCCTTCATCTGGGACTCTGGTTTCTGACCCCCTTGCAGCCTTTCCTAGCAGAGACAGCTGTCTCCTCCCAGTGTCAACATACTGACAGTGTTAGGAGGTGGGCCAACATGCCACCACCTGTTAGGGGGTGGGTCTTGGGGAGAGTTTTCAGACTGTTGTGCACGTTGAAAGAGCATTGGGCATATAGGCCAGCAGGGCATTTAGTGACTGCCTTCACCCAGCAGGTGAGCCACAGCTTCCATTGCAGCCTCACACTGACACTGTGCTGCAGGAGCCCAGCTGTCCTCCCTCAGTACCACTAGGCTCTAGTCCATTGCTTACAAGCCTTTTCCGAGGCCGGCCCTGTCCAGATCCATGTCCAGTTATAGCTACATCTCAATCTCCATTCTCTTCTGAAGGTAGGTTCAAACTCTCAAACAACACAGGTTCCCTTGACCCAGGAAGTGAGGCAGCTATGAGGGTGCACACAGTTAAGCCACAGGGAGTCAGGGCCAAATTACTTAACCTTGGGCAAGATGATCTTTAAAATCCCCTTGGCTTAACATTCTGTGATTTACTTATTTTCAGAAAGATGAGGACATTTTTGACGCTTAGATTTCTGCTTCAAAAGTTGCTTAACTTCAAATTATCAAGATCAGTCTTGCTTTCTTCCCAAATTCAAGCTGTTTAAGATCAGCATCTCAAGGCTGATCTCTCCCCCATGTTAGAAAGTGAGTTTGACATTGAGAGCTGTTGAATAGCGTTGTGATTGCTTTCCCTCCTGGTGGCTAGGTAAAAATATTACCAACCTGGAGAGGTGGAGATTGGAGCTGGTAGGGCATGGATAGAGCAGGGTGTTGCAGGCAGCCATTAGACACAGTGTGTCACTAGGAAAGCAACTGCTGCATGTAGGTTTGCTCAGCCATCTCACCCACATGTGGCCAGTGCTGCTTCTCAGCACCCAAGCAGCAGGCTTACTACGCATCTGCTGGCACCAGCTGGTTCCTAGTCTTAAGCTCTGCCTTGAACAGCAAGAGAACGCTCTGCAGTGAAGCTCATAGTTCGGTGGTTACTGCGGCTGAGCTCTGCCTCTGACACTGCTGCTGTTCAATATGCTCTTTCACAGCAGAAGCCATGAAAGCAGGAGGTGTTTCAGACCCCACGACCACATAGACCACATAGCATAGAATGGTGCTCTGGCTGGACTCCTACAGTCAGGGCTTGGATGTGAGCAAAGGGCCAAACCCTGGAAGTGGGTACCTGCATTTTGTAGTGAGTGAAAGATAGGAGTTCTGTGAATGTGGCGCAGGATGGAGATCGCAAGCACTGGGAGGAAGGAAGCCGGGCTTCTGCACCTGGAAATGTGTTTTTTCATTAAGTTCATCCCTTGGCTCCAGCTGAGCTAGATTTTAATCAGCTTCCCTAATGGGTATTGACACTGCTCGGAGCAGTCAACTCTGTCGGGGACAACTATTGATTGCTTGTGTTCTGATTAGATTGGAAAAATAGATCAACTTCATTATAGCCCAGGAGCTGTCATTGTCACAGCTACAGAGAAATGAAGTGGTCTCTGAGGGCTGAGGAAAAACAGTTGGGCTCCCGAACCAGAAGTAGCTGAAACTTGTACCCATGTCTCCTTGAGAGCTGTGGTTAAGGGTCACAGTTGCCCTGGAGTATGCCTTGCAACCCAGAGCCTGGATGGCCACTGTGGCGAGATGGTAGAGGAGCCCATGGCACTGACGCATGTTCTGACCTTACCTCAGCAGACATGACGGTGTGAGAGTCTCTTTAAGCCTGGGAACACACACATACACACCAGGCTGGAGCTTTCAAAAAGAGTCTGGCATTTTGATTAGAAATGAGAACGCAGAAACCAGTTTTATCCAAGTGGAGCTCTGTCTTTTTTGCTCTTCCTACACCCTTCCAGTTTCCCAAAGGACTTCTCACTCCCACTCATTTGCTTATCTTCCAGATTGGGAATCTGCCAGAACGACATTTTGTTATTTCACCTCTAAATTTTCCCCTAATGCTTCCAATAAAATTTTACTTGGGTGGCCCCTTAAGGTGTCATCAAGATGCTAGCTTGGGCCCTTCCAAAATAAGCACACCCTCCCCCTTCCTTCCCTCTCATCTCCCTCCATACTCCTTAGGTGCCTGAGGGAAGAGGTTTTCCATTAATCAGCCAAGAGTCCTGTAGGATTTTCAAACCCAACAGCAACTCATCCCTCCCAACCTGCCCACCACCCATAGCCAGTCCCTACCCACTTTTAAAGCTCCCTGGCTGTGCTATCGGCCCTCAGAGAGCAGGTCTGGCTTATAGGTCTAGATGCCTCCTCTGTTGCAGGGCCCTGTCTGGCTCATTCCATCTTTTCTGAGGGCTGTGACTGAGGCCTAAGGCAGAAGTGTTTCGTCAGCACTGGCTGAACTAGTTTGTTTAGCTAGGGTCAGCCAAGCAGGAGAGAAGATCCAGGAAAAGCTTGACCGTGAAGATCATAAGGGCCACTGAGGTGCTCTTGAGCCCAGAACTGGGGATCCTAGCATGGATCCTAAACAAGGGACACTCAGGCAGGAGCAGCTTGATCGTCTCCAGAGCGCAAGTGTCTGCTGTTCTCGGCCCTGCTCTCCTGAAACCTCAGGCAGATCTCAGCTTATCCTCGGCTGGGGAGACTAGGTGGAAGCGATTGTAGGCACCAGAAGGCAGGCACAGGAAAAAGGATTCTGAGAGGATGCACCTCCAACGTGCGCTCCTTTTTAGCCAGCATCCCTTGAGCCCTTGGCAGCTCGGGCCTCCTCCCAGCTGGTACCTTAAGGCAGAGCCATGATTTCCCTGAAGAGGGGAGTGAACCTTCCCTCCTTCGCTGGGGGATGTGGCCAACTCCTGGCTTTGGCTTTATGGCTTTCTTGTAGTCATGTGTCCTCTGCTCCAGTCTTGATCACTACTTCAGTGCTAGCATTTTACATTTCCTCTCTCCACCCTTCACCCACACTTAATGCACCGAATGGAACTGTTTTCCAGCTGAGTTGTGTGGATTCACTTCAGTCAACTGTAAGTACACCTGGAGGAGGCTCCTGATGGAGGGGAAGCCAGACTGGCTTTGTGAACTGAATGTATTTTTATGCAATTTTGAGTGGCCTTTCAACCCTGAGATGGATTTGTTTTACTGGTTGTTGTTATAGAATATTAAGTATTCTGTGTTTTGAAAGTTTGGGAATAATATTCACATCTATATGATGCCTGTAAACACAACAGTATTTATAAACGAGGAAATAAAATTGTGTTTTAACTTTGTGCCATGGATTGATAGAACCTCCCACTCACCAGGTAGCCCCCAACAGTTCCCACTGACTTAGAAGTCTATTTGCCATAAGTACCATAAGACCTCAGTCACCACCTGCCCCACCCCAGGGAAGGTCTCATGGAGCACCAATAGATTTCCTAGGTTGATTGGCCAACAAAAAGCCTAGAATGAAGGTTTGGAACAACCCTGAGAAGAAATAAGGGTTCCCGGTGCCTAAGAAGGTGGCTGTTTCTTTGAAGGTAAAAAGCAGTGGTGTGTGACCCACCTAAATACACCCCAACACCCATCCTACAGAGGGAATGCTGGCGGGGATGCCAGGCTCTTGTGGGCTCCCTGCATCACCCTCAGTCCTTCTCTGTGTAAGGGCTTCTTGGGTCACTGGTTTATAAGATCCAAGCTTCACTTCTTAGTTCCAAACTATGCAAACAAAGCTACCCTGGGGTCATTAGAGGTTGAATCTAAACCCTGACAGAAGGGCATCCAGCCCAGAGGTACTGTGCAGGCTGCTGGCAGGGCTGGGAGTGGGCAGCCAGGCTTTGTGCCTGCTGTCTGCCAAGTGGAAATCCTTGGTCACTGACTTGGGAGGGATGGAAGATTCTTTTCCCCTGCTGTCACCCAGCTGTTTGTAGATCAAGCAGCAAGAAGAAACAGGCATGATGTCATGGTTGAAGAGTTCAGCCCTGGCCTGGGGCTTGAAGCAGAGGCAAAGAAGACTGACACAAGGACCTCCTAGACTACAAACATCATTTCTCTGGGCCCCTTGCTGGCTGGGTACGGTCTATCTGCTGGTCATGGGTGCCAGCCCTCCTGGTAGCCCCCTGTAGCAGAGCAAGGTTATCCACATTCTCAGTCCTGTAAAGCCAGGCCGCCAGCCAGACTGAAGCAGCCACCAGCCAGCCAGGTCTGGGGCCCCGCCAGCCCACACAGGCATTCTGCCTACCTGCCTTCACTGCCCCTTGGCCATCTGGACTTGACACAAAACACAAGCCGAGTGCATGATGGTCCTAGACAAGTGTCACAAGATGTGAAGTGACATGATGGGCTGACCTTCTTTGGGGCTGGCAACTAAAGAGTTTAATCCTGTCCTGGTCTTAGCCATACTGCCCCATACTCTGCCCCTGAGTGTTTTCTGAAGCTTATTGGCCCCTGGTATCTCTGCCTCATCAGTCAAAGACAGTTTTCGTTAATGCAAGATTGGAGGTTTTGTAATTTCCACATTTCAACTAAACATTTACTCCCTGGGACCAGCAGCCTCCCTGTTGTCAGGGTCAGACTGCCCCTGAGCCCAAGTCCTCTGGAGTAAACTTAAAGATGTAGGACAGCCCTTGTCCTCCCAGTAGGATGGACCGACCCCATTGGACTACCATCCACCAGAAAACCCATCATTCCTTCCCCCAAACCCAGAAGATAATAGGCCGTGACCCCTTGTAGGCTGGGCTGGAGCTCAGAGCCCCCAAAACAGCTCGCCTTCCTCCCCAAACTTGTTGACCTTCAGAGGCAGCATCCTGCCCCCTGCCCTGGCCCAGTAAAACAAAGCAGAAATGCTCCCCACCCCCAGGTTGCTTTCAGCTCTTTTCTTTAATAAGGAGACGCAGCTCATTACAAAATAACAATTTGACAAGAGATCAGACAAGAACAGAGTCCACATAAGGGAATGGAGAGAGCAGTGCCAAGCAGAGGGGGGTGGGGGAGGGCTACACGTGTCCTTCTTATGAAGACAGGGAGGGCTCCTGGTGGGGCCAATGCGTTCCAGGGGTAACATGGCCACACCCAGGTTCTGCCTCAGCCCCAGTTTTGAAAGTTTCTGGGCCTGGGGTTTTCAGAAAGCAAATCAAGGCCTTAGATGAGCAGGAGTTAGGGCAGAATCGTCAGACTTCCAGGTCATTTCCCTAAACTCCTGAGGAAAGCTGGGGGTGAAACTGTGAAGCCTGCACACTGCTCCTACCACTTGGCCAGTCTCTGCTGCCACATTTCCCAGTTTCTGCTTCTGTGGAGACTGGGCATCTCCAGCCAACTCCAGTCTACCCTAAAACAGTTACTCCAATTGCCCTGCTCTTTAAGTCAGTAGCACAGAGGTCTCTGGGAGTAGCATGTGCTCAAGCCTCATGGTTTGTAAGTGGCAGAGTCCACCTTGCTCCCTCTGGCCTTCTCCAATATGCTTGCCCGATTCTGCCTGAGGGCCCCTGGATTAGTAACATGACTGCCCTCCTGGAGAGTCCTGTGGGTGCAACAAACTGCGCCAGCCCGACAGTTACTACTTGCCATGCCTGCTCAGGCTACCCAGGGAGCCGATGTGAGGGTCAGAGCCTAGTGTCTCCAGTTTTGAGCCACCCCTTATCACTATACCTTCCACCTTGCTCTCAGGGTACCCTGATCTTGTCGCACTGCCAGACCAAAGAGAGAGTATGGATGGAGAATTCAATCCACTGCAGTTCTAGGCTTTCCACACAGGTCACTCCTCCACTGCCTTCCATGGGCCCTGACAGGGCGGGGAGATTAGGCAGGGCTGGTCTTGTTCGTCCCAGGCTGCCAGACAGAACCTGACTACAGGCTGGGCTGCTTACTGCTTCTGAAAACCCTGGTTGCCTCCAGGTCTCTAAGAAGGTATCCAAGCCACAGAGTCACGACCACTGCCCTGCCTATAGCCAGGGTAGAGTTGAGTTCCACCATCAAACTTAGGCCAAGAAAGCCAGCCAGGGGCATCTCCTGAGACCCCACCAGAAGCCCTGAAACACCAGCTGTCCTCATGACACAGGGCTGAGGGAGCAAGAGAGGGTGACGGACAGATGAGCCCTTCACAAGTGTTCTGTGGGGAGCCAGTTAGAGGAACGGGGAGGGGGGCTCCTGGGAGGAGTCGAGGGCAGCCTCCAGGAGGCCCCTTTATGGCTTTTTAATTTATTCAAGACAGTGGGAAGAAAGGAACCACGCCACACACATGGAACACAGAAGAAACGGGACAGCAGACATCAGGCTAGACATAGTACACTGTGCCCCAAGGGTCAGCCCTACAGACATGCAGCCGACCTGTCTTGAGGGCTGGTGCCCTTCAGCATCTTCCCTGGGCAGGGTTGGCACTGGGGCCAGAACATTGTCTCCCACTGTGAACATTTCCTATAGGGGAGGTAAGGTGGGGCCAAGGACGAAGACTTTACACAACATAAAATCAAGGAGCAGCCAGTTCTGTCAAATGGGTTTGGGGTTGGGAGATCAGGGGACTCTCAGCACTGCCATGCGGCTATTTACAGAATTTTAGGCATGCATCTTGACTAAACAAGATTCCGCTCGTATGTTTATAGATAGCATCTTCTTTTATAATATATAACTAAATGCACATGGAGGGGTCAGATGAGGCTCAATGGCTTCAGAAGTTTCCTTTTGTGTTGTTAAAAAATAAAGTATATTCACATATCTTCAAGTCACAGTGTCCCCTTCTCAGTATTGCAGTTCAAAAAACAGGTTAAATCAAATCTGTGGTCACCAACCTCTTGCCCCTGGGACTAAAGAAAATGGGTGAAGTAGCCGGAGGGTGCATTGCCAGATACAATACAGGATTCACCGATTAAATTTAAATTTCACATTAAACAATGAATCACTGTTTATAGTACAGTATGTCCTAAATATTGTATAGGACATACTTCAAAATTATTTATCTGAAATTCACGTTTAACCAAGTATCCTGTATTTGAATTTGCCAAATCTGGCCACCTGCTGCTACCCAGGCTCTGAGAAAAGACCCCAACCAGCCTGCAGTGGGAGGGACATAGCAGGGGACAAGCAGAGATAGGGAAAATTCAAGCTCCTCAAAGACAGGCTCTCCCACAGGCTTGAGAGGCCCAGGGTTCTCAAGAACTGACATGTGGACATAAGACAGAGGAACACGGGATTTCTTCCCTTTGCCATCATAACCCATACACACCCTTACAGATAACAGAAAGCATGTTTATAAAAGCTACTTTTACGAAGAGGCCTGTTTGGTAAAAAAAAAAAAAAAAAAAAAAAAAAAAAAAAAGCCTCCCACCTCCCTCACTGTATCTGGGGCCAGCAAAATTACCCCAGACTACTTCTACAGAACCAAGGCTTCCTGGGGAGAAGAACGACCAGGCTCTTGGGCTGGGCCTCACCCATGCTCATTCCAAGCACCTGCTGAGCTGGGTGCTCCCCACTCCACAACCTTCATTGCTAAGTCTCAAAAACTACCCACAGCACTGCGGAGCTTGCTTCGCTTCTGGGTGGATCATTTAAGGAGGGCTCGTGCCCCCACATCCGGAGTGGAGTTTGGGCATTTATAGTCTTACCCCCTCTAGAAGAAAAACAAAAACAAAACTCCACTAAGGACTTTCTTCTCTTTGGATCACACTTCTAGCCACAGAAGAATTGAGAACCCCTCAGCAGCCAGAAACACTATGTCTACTTAGCGCGGATGCCCCAGGACCCTGCCAACCCAGAAATAAACCCCTGTGGCAGTGAAGGTTTGAAATGCAGTGCTGGGCTCTGGGTCACATCAGCTCCCCTAATGCAAACAAACTTAAGCCTCAACGTGTTCCTGCCACGCCCCTGGGCCTGGACAGGTGCCATCTGCTTGGGTGGCTGTCAGGGACCAGCCCTAAGCCTGGGGAGGAACCACTCCCAGCACCCATGCTGGCTGAACTGGTGATCAGAGTCAAAAAGGTCTGGCGGGCTGCCCACAGTAATGAGCTCTAGCCTGTCTCTAAGCCCAGGGACGTTCAAAGCACAGAGGCGCCAACCAGCCTGTCCCTCTCCTGTCAGCAGTGCAGGAGAACCATGGGCTATCCAAGACTGAATGAGGCTCAGAGAGAAGCCCAAGGACTTAAAAGGTGGACTGGAAAAGGCGGGAAGGATACAGGAAGAAGGGGAAGATTGACAGGGGAGTTTCTGTGAGTAAGGTTTATGGAATGTGGATGAGAAGAGCCATAGCGGGGAGGGACCTTGGAAAGCACCAAAGTTCCACAGAAAAGAATCCACTGGCATCTGATATCCATACCAGGACCCTACGACTCTTCAACCGTCTGGACTGTGAGTGTGCCCTATTGCCTGATAATCTCCCACCATGACGTGAATTCTGGTCCCACGGACTACAATACTGCAACCCATAATCCTCTCAGAGTCCTGCCATCCGGTGTTTGGCATAAACACACACAGAGTGTATGTATAAGATCTACAACTTCCCACGTACTAAGGGCCAATAGCAGAAGGGTCCTAAAAGACAGGCTGACCAAACCTCACTTCACAGCCTATGTCTGGTTACCTCACTCCCTACTTAGACCAAAAGACCACAGCAAAGCCAACCCACATATCCCCCGTCTTCATTGAAATGAAAGGATACTCTGTGCCTCCTTCAGGCTGGGAGGCCTCAAAGCTAAACTACACCACCACCCAGCTCTCAGACCTACAAGAAGCAGGAGGGCCCAGATGGCGTCGAGCAGCTCTCCCATATTTGCTGTTGAAGAGAGAAACCCCCAAGCTTCAGGAAAGCTGTATATTTTCTGTGGTAAGAAAACAGGGGCCTGAGAGATTCATGGACAGAAGCAAGACCAAGGAAAAGCAGCAGTCTCTGACTACATGGGGCCTAACTCCCCTGCCCAGGCTGAGGGTTCAGAAGGGCGCTCAGTGCAAGCCTGACTAACATATATATGGCTTTTATCAATGCTGGGACAAGTAGAGAAAACAGGGAAGGGAGCACAAACCAAACACCGGATAGAAACTCTAGCAGGTTTCCCCCACCGCCCATTTGAAATGAATGCCCTGTCCTTCCTGGCATTCAGAGAAAAGAGCCTTGAAGGAATGGAAGGATGGGGACTCTCCACAGGTCTGCCTGGGCCACTCCGGCTACCAGCAGGGGGGGCAGAAGGGTCCAGAGGGTCAGGATGGGAGCTGTGAGGAGCGCAGCACATCTGCCTAGCTCACCACTGTCCACCCATGCTGCCCTTCCTGCCACCTCCTCCTTACCTGGACCTCAAGGGAACTAAACACTCAGGCCTTCCTCTAACACATCTCTGGCTCTGTCAGAGCACTTGTCTTCAGACAGTATTTTTCCACTTACACAAAAAGGGAAACAGAAGCAAAAAGCAAGATGGTGCATGAATGCAAATGAACGCGTTGCTTGTACTCTGCAGAGGGAGGAAGCATCTGTTCTCCACTGGATGAGGCAACAATCCAGGAGCTTAGTTCCAGGCTGAGTAATGGGACTTCTGTTTCTTCAGGGCTTGATGTCAACAAGAACACTATTCTGGGCCTGGCAGTCCCTGGTAGAGTCCAAACAATCTAGTGAATAATTTATTTCCATGAATGTACCCGTAACCTCACTCCTAGGGAAAGCCATGACTGACAAGAGGAAGTGTATGACAGCATCAAGGGCTTTGGTCCGGTTCTGAACACATCCAGTACCACATCTTGCTGCCTTCCACATGTCCTCTCAGAAGGACTATGAGAGCTCCTGTCATCTGACCAGGCTTCTTCACTTGCTGACAGGCCTCCCACTTAGGCAGTGGGCTATCTTCACCTTCCAGTCCCTGAAGACTTTCTGCCCTCACACAGCTTCCTTGTCGATGGCTCAGTCCAGAAATGAAGAGAGATACTCAAAGACAGAGACAGGTGGGGAATGGATGGACGCACGCACACACACACACATACAATGCTGGCCATTGTGTTGCCTTCACAGTCAAGAAACAGAATGTGCTTGCCATTTTGTTGGTCCAAAACCCAGGAAAGCAGGACCTGCTTCCTGCCAGTAGAGGGCCTCACTTGGAGTGAGACCTGTGTGAAGCCTTGATTTAGTGAGGGGAAACCCTGATGGCATGCAACAAGGACAGCTCCTGGGACAACAAACAGTGCCAGGCTTCTCTTTCATGTCTTAGGGGACTCTTCACGCAGCCACCAAAAGGAAGTTGGTCTTTAAAAAGAGAAAAAGGAAGGGAAAACAGGACACACTGCAAACAAATGAAGAAACCTCTAAGGTCGCATAACTGAGGTATTGATAGCTCTGGATCTTGTCAGTGTCCTGGGGGGGCATGTGGCCCCAGCTGCTGCCGCCTACTTGTTCTTGCCTAGGAGGGCATCCACTTCCTCCTCGGGCTTAAGAGAGTGCCACTGGGCGATGGGCCGTCGGGGGTTGGCCAGCATGTCGGACCAGTGCCGCAGCTCCGTGCCTGTGGCGTTGCTGCCCACAAAGATCTTGCCGATGGCTTCGTTCTTGCCCAGCTTGTCATAGTCTAGCACGGTGACAACCACCTGGACTTTCTGCAAAGCAAGCAAAGGAAGGGAGGAATTCAAAGGAGAAGCGGGAAGCCATGACATCTCTCCTGTCAGTCTATACTGCAAATGATGGGGAAGGAAGTGCCTCTAGGTTTCTGGCTCCAACTCCAACTAAACTTCAGTGTACCTATGGAGGTGGAGGTGGTGGCCACAGTTTTTTTTTTAAAGTAACCCTGTATTTCTACCAGCAGGTGTATAACACTCTAGGCACTGTAAGACTGTATAGGAGGGGTAGCCTCTAATGAGGTCAGTGGACACATAATAAAAAACACAAGTGTTCCTCAAATACACATCACTTTTAAAATTCATACTCTCCTCTGTCAATCTATATTGCAGATGATATGGATATAAAGAAATATATGACTTTTTAAATTATTTCATGTTTATCCCTTCCGATAATGGGGGCCCTTCAGAAAAGACTTCTACAGCGTCCTGCCCCAGCATTGCCAGACCCAGGTCCTTCCCCACAGGAGTGCACCTGTCCCATGTCTGCCCTCTACCTCCCCATGCTTGTCTGGTGAGCTCAGAGGCTTAAGCACCTGGATCTGCTCAAAGGGGATCTCGAAGCTGAAGGACTCATTGAAGTAAGGGTTCAGGGTCTTCTTCTTCACCGTTGTCTTCTTCTTCTTGAGTCTCTTTCCATTCTGCATCAGGTGGATCTTCACGTAGGGGTCTGCAGAGAGAATCCCAACCCAGGAGACTCCTCAGCCCTGACGACCCTCTCAGTGTTCCCAGGTCTCCACTCTGCTGGCACCAGGCCCCTGGGAAGCCCAGAGGAGGAAAATAGGAAGTCCCAAAAGCAGACGAGTCATCCAGGCCCTGGGTGGAAAGGTGCTAGGCCACCCTAACTGTTCACTCACAGTCTCCTAGTGCATGAAGTGGGGGACTTTCTGAGCTTAAGAAAGGTCTTATGAGGAAGGGTGGGGACTAACTGGTTGGATGCATGGGCTAGGCAGAAGACAAAGTCGTGAAAGGCAAAGCACACTTCAGAGTCCTGTCCCTGGCCCAGTGAGAACCAAGGACACAGGAGACCAGTCCACGGTCACATGCTGGGTGAGTGGTGGTGCCAAAGCCCAACTACAAGGCTCATTGTCTGAGGAGGGTCTGCAGAGGTAGTAGGCTTTATCCATCAGCACCCTATGGCACAGGCTAGCCCTATTCACTGTCAGGTAAATCTGAAACCCAGAGCATCCCCTTCTGGATCTGAGCTGGCAGAGCCTACAGCCTCTCCTGGAAAAATATTCCCTACTCTGGTGGCATGGCAGAAAGGCAGACTTTGCCCTGCCACTTCCCACACTTCCTGAGAAAACTCCTGTGTCATTAGCTCATTTGGAGAATGAAATTCTTCTGTCTTCTCCTCCATGGCCCACAGGGCATGTCTAGAGGGCAATGGGAAGGGACTCAGATATGGACGGGCAGCCGAAGAAAGGTGAGACTGGAAAGCCTGGGCCCTGCAACAGGTAAGACTTTTTTATCACCAGTCCCAGGGACAAGCAGCGACTGGCTTACTGGTGCCACACACTGGCGCCCAGAGGTTCTGCATTACCTGAAAGGCCACCCACATCCATCTTCTTGAGGTTCTTGGCCTCCAGGATACAGACCGTGAGTTTCCCAGCAGTGGGCACGTAGCGCAAGGAGGTACAGATGTCACCCAGCTTCTCCGGCTGTCCAGGGAAAGAAGCAGGATTTAGGTCACTTCAGCTAGCCCAGTGGCCTCTACTGTGGCTGACCCCATCTCTCGAAGATTGGCAAAAACAGTGATTTCTGCTTAGTCATCAGCTCCCACATCTGTCGCTCAGGTGGATTTCAGCATCCACCACCTGTATCTTACACTGTGGTTCGTGGCCACGGCCTAGGGAAGGCAGAGGACCGGCTATAGTGGGCAGACCTGGCGGATGTGGGGTATGCTCAGAGCCACACCGAGCTGAGATGAGGAATGCGTAAGGAGCAGGTGTGGGAGGCCAAGCATTTTGGGAGCTTCTTCCCTGATTACTCTTGCCTGCTGCCATCCTTTCCCATCAGCCACTGGGCTTGCGAAGCAATATGTGGTTCTCAAAGCTCTTTCCTTCCCTTTCATTATGTCACTGAAACCTTTTGCATGCACAAGGCAAGGATACTTTGTAACCAACAAGAAACCCCAGGTGCCAGGCTGTTCCTCAGAGGCAGACAGAAGTGGAGCGCTGGGCAGCAGAGGTCTATAGACACCAGACCTCAGGCCTCTGCCAGTCCCTGGCTTCTCAGGGATGGGGCCACCAGGGAAAGGGTAAAACCAGGCAATCACACATGCCCTCCTTCAGGTGTGAAAGCCTTCATCTCTGACAACAGGGCAAGGCCCAGCTATAGAAGGAGGCCCAGTGCTCGCACCCCTGCACCTCCACTGAGCACGGTGCAGGCAGCCCCAGAGGCCTGGCTAAACCCGTGATGACGGTGAAGTAGCTGGAGTGGGAGCTCTGGCACACAGCAAATGAGGGATTGGTTGCCTGGAAGACAAGCCACACCTGAGACTCCTATAGAATCAAGGCTGGCTTTTCCAGCTGGGTAAACTGAGGCACGAAGTGGCAGTGGGACCTTAAAAGGAACAATGACAGTGGCATCTTTGGTGTCATGGCTTGCTTGACAGACATCTGCACCGTCAGCTAATCCTAGCTGGAAGCGTCTGAACGAAGGCACCAAGGCCTCCATTTAATTAGCTTCCCTTGGGTCAACAGCCAGGAAGCGGGGAGCTGGATTCTTCACCGAGCAGACCTGACTCCAAACCGCCGCTCTCCCCTGAAGAGTGAGAGGCCCGGCCTCTCTGCCCTACCTCTTCCTTCTCCCCGCCTTGTAGGTCTCGCCATTCCTCGATGGGCTGCCCGAGGTCCACGGTGTTCATGGGCACCTTCACCTCCCCAATGATGTCGTGCTTAGAGAAGCGGTCAAAGTCATAGATGGCCATCACCAGGGTTTTGCCTCCCAACTCCTGGTATGGCACCTGTAGGGCACAGATGGGGTCAGAAGGGGTCAAGGTGGCTTGATCACTTACAGGGGAGGCTGTGGGAGGATCCCGGGGTTTGTGCCTGTGCTGCCCGCAGGGCACAAGGTGGGCTGAAGAAAGCAGCATGTGAGATGGGAGAGAGCCTACTGCAGCCTGCTACAGTGTCATACTGAGCACACCCCAGGACTCCAGCCATGGCTGAGGACCAGGCCAAGCTGTGCAGAACCCAGGGGCGGAGGAACAGGAGTCGTCCTTCTGGTTTCCATCACCTTGAAAGTGAAGGTCTCATTGAAGGCGGGGTTCAGTGTCTTCCGGTGCACCTTGGTCTCGTATTTCTTCTTCTTGTCTGGGAGGAGGAAGACTTTGACATAAGGGTCTGAAGTGCCACCCATGTCCAGGGCAGGGAGCTCAGCAGCCTGCAGGACACCCACGGTGAGCTGTGGAGAAAGGGGATGTCTGAGTCTCAGTCTGGTTCCAATGACACCCCAGCCCCACTCCAAGTGGGAATGGGGGAATGGGGCCATGCCAACCTCAGCAAGGAAGTTACTAGCAGAGTTCATCCGAGATGTTCCCCAGATGAGGCTTGTGGTCAAAGCCAAAGGATATATATGTCCTGCGACTTCTAACTGCCCTCTCCATGGGAAGACACAAGGCCTATCTGTCTCCAGGGCGCCCGCTTCCGCCCACAACCTGTCCCCCTTGCCCAGCCCCACACACCTGATTGGCCTGGAAATCATAATCCAGAGAAAACTGCAATTTGCCCAGGTTCTCTGGCTCTTTCTCCTCCTCGCCTTCACCTTCTCCTTCAGTCAGCCCCGTCTCTGCATCGTCATCATCCTAGGAGAGCTGCAGGTGGGGAGAGAGGGGTTTAAAGGCAAAAGCAGAGCAGCAGCCCTTCACAAAGACAGCAGAAGCCACCCCAGAGCCTAGCCAAGGCACATCTGGGCGTGCAGGGAGAAGATCCCCAAGGCTTGGGCCTGTGTTGCCCCTGCATGTGAGATCGGAGCGTGGCAGGTGCAGGAGCTCAGCCTCCCCACAGCTCACAGGACCCCTAGTCCCACCCTTGGAAGACGTGTCTCCAGCTTGGGCAAGAATCTATCCTCCTTTTGGGGTCAGGCACCAGGCCATAGGCCATACGATTTTTGAGACACAGGTCTCACTTCCCTTGTAAAACCCTCTCAGTCCTTTGCCCAGCTCAGATTTACCCAACCTGGGAGAGACATACCAGGATTGCAGTCCAGACAGCCAGGAACAGGGCGAGTCCAGAGAGGCAGAAAGAGAAGGGAGTGAGATAAGAGCAAATCCTTCAGCTTACGCTAGCCCTGAAGTCATGGCTGCTTGGTGAGATCAGGCTGGGTTGCACACACACATGCTTGCGCGCACACACACAAATACATACATATATCTGTATGCTCACACACATGCATACATATGTCCACAGGAAAACACGCATACACACACATGTGCACGCCTGCACACCATCCATGTGCATGTGCCCTGATGAGGCCTTCAGAAGAGACTTCCCCCACTCACTCCCCAAGCAGAGGACCTTGAAGCACCAGACTCTAAACTTAGAAGAGGGATTGGTATGCCAAAGGAGCCGCTGGAACCAACACCAACAGGCTGGTGTCGGCACCTCGTTATCTGAGACTGACAGATACCACGTGGTCCTGTCTCGATGCCTCCAAGCCTGCCCCTGTCTCATGTGAGCCCCCAACCCACCCAGCTAGATGTATCTGTCCTTCAGTGTCTCCTGGCAGGAGCGTTCGGTGCTACCCAACACTGGCTTCCTCACGATCGTCATGGGTGTCTAGCACTTTGACCCAGTGGCCGCCTTCCTAGGGAGCCCTTACATTGTCCCTTCTGCCTTTTCAAGGGTGAGCTCATGCTAACATGTGGGTAAGCCCCTACCCTCAGGATGACCAGATAGCATAGGGATAGCCACTGGGGCCCGTGTGGAGACGGGGCGGGCCTGGGTGGAGAGTACAGAGGGAAACAGCTCGTGCAAAGGAGGGAGTGTTTACCTGTGGAGGCCCAGAAGCCTTTGCCTCACCTTCAGCACTGGGAAAGCCAGGCAGGGCCCCTCCCAGTTCCCCAGCCCTCCCCAGCACCCTACCTGGCCCCCTTTCATGTCCTTCATGTTCATGGCGTTCTTCATGCCTTTGCCCTTCTCCTTCTTGTTTTTCTTCTTCTTGCAGCAGCACTTCTTGCAGATGCAGAAGCAGCAGGTGAGCAGCAGGAGGCCAGCAACCACAGCCATGGCAATCAGAGCCCAGGGTGGCACTGCCCACACACAGAGCCCCGGAGTCAGCACCAAGCCTCACGAGCCCTCGTCCCAAGCACAGGCAAATGCGGGTTGGGGACTGTGACTCCCCCATCTTGCTGCCCCCCCATACACATGAGGTACCTCGCTCTCAGCTGCCCCCTTGTGGACATAGCCTGCCGGGTTAGCAGCCAGGAGTATATGTGGAAGAAGAGCAGTTCCGATGGTGCCTGAGTTTCCCTGTTATTTTGATCTTTGCACAACTGCCTCATCCTCATCACAGCCAAGAGAAGGAAAAGCCCGTGGACCCTGGCCCTGAGACAGTCCCCAGAGGCAGACAGGTTTCCTGAGCTCTAGTTCCCCTGGACCTTCCTTAACCAGAGGGGCTGGGGGGGGGTTGGGGAGCCCCTCCCTGTGATGTTCTCCGGGTCCTGAAGCTCTGGCTCCACCAGTGTGGCCCTGCAAAGGGGACCCTGGTTCCACAAGAGACCCTTTTACAGGAGTACAGAAAGCTTCATTTTCCTCACTCCAAAATGAAGCGGTTTCTAAATGCTACTGAAAACCTGAATAATGATTCCTATCCTATTTTTTTCACCTTTAATTTTCATCTTTTTTTTGGAGGGGGAGGGATTTTAAAGCTGTACTTAAAGGTGAACTTGCCTCCTGTAGCTTGGGGCACATGACACAAATTCCCTCGGTGGGCTCATTAACTCCAGGCCATACTCCCAGCCCGTGTTTAATGGGAGAAATCCAAACTGAGACCCAAAGACAGAGCCCGGCCAATCCCATCCTGGTAGCTCCCTGCCTTCTCTGCCCTTCCCTGTCGTAGGCTGTAACCCGGGGCCACTCACAGGGGATCTTGTTGATCTCATTGAAGAACTTCTCCTTCAGCTTGGCGAACATGTCTTCCTGGCTCTCCCCGGTGCCCGTGCTCTCTGTGGAGTTGTCGGCAGGCGCAACAGGCATGGTGGCAGTGGTGGTGGCAGGAGCCACAATGGGCTCCTGGTTCCTCTTGAAGATGTTTCTCATGGTGGCAGAGGGGACAGCTGGGGGTGAGAGGAAGAGAGCAGGGTAAGTATCCCAGAACCTCTGTCCAAGGGAGAAGGCCCAGGCTAAGGCTGTGGGTGTGGCCCCCTCAGCAGTGCGAAGGTGTTGAGCATAGTCCATGGTGTGCAGACAACGGTCAGTATGGGGCATTCTCGGGGCTGTGGCGGGTGTTTGTTTGCTTGCTTGTTTCACATTCTTCTCGCTTAACAGCTGGGGCAACAGGCCTAGAGAGCTAACCAGTCCTTAGAACCAGCCTGGTGGAATGGCCTAGCTGCAAAGCCGATACTGCTCTCCTGGGTCATTCACATCTGACCTCCCACAGCTCTAGGAAGGAGTGAGGCTCTCACTGAGGTTGGCCTCAGTGTTCCCTGACATTTGTGGAATGGCTCAGCCGGCCCTCTGCCTGTCCGCATGATACAGGACGCTCCCAGCCCCTTCCCTTTCCAAACCGGCCTCCGGCACTTGCATGAGATCTTTTCACACCTTCTCAGATCCACATCTCTAGCTCCTCCCAACAGCCCTAGAGCGAAGAGGTGGCAGTCATTAAAGATACAAAAAAACAGAGGCGGGGCGGGGGAGAAAGACAGAGGCAGAGACATGGGTGGACCCAACAATCCTACCAAGGACAGAACTAAGACACCTGGTGTCTTAGACACTTTGGTGTCCTTTCTGTCTTACACGTCTAGAGCGTCCCATATGTAAGTTGACATTCTGCTTTATCTTTTCCTTTACCAGTTCATTCTGCCTTCCTCACTAAGTGGCTAGATAATACACCACTGTACGGAGTAGCAGCATGATGTCTTTACTCCATTAGCAACAGTTTCCATTGCTGTGTGGCTGGAGGGAGAGTTAAATGGTAGCACTGGCTTAGCGTGGGCTAGCCCAAGTCCTGTTCTTGGCACCACTACACACACACATACTTGTGTATAATATATATGTAGATGTAGAACTACATAAGCATGTTATGTAATCACACATGCATGTATGTATGCTACATACACTATGCATGTATGTGTAACTCTAACCACATGTCCGTACATACAGCTAAAATAAGACGAGCATAAACTCTGGTCTTCATTTAAAGCAATGCTCTTCTGAGCTCCAAACTCTACACTGCTCTCTGTGCTCCCTCTGGCACCGTTCTGCTTCTCAAAGGGGTGTGCCCCTCTTCACCTCGTGCCCGGACAGGACACGGCTGTGCTGTGTTCACATTAGCTGCTTCTGTGTCACATGCACACAGTTCTAAGAGGCACATTCTTGGAATCTGTCCTGTTTGCTTTTTGTTTATTTGTTTGCTGTGAGGCAGGATCTCACTATACAGTACGGGCTGGTCTCAAGCCTCAGTCTGGCTGAGTCAGGCTGGTCCTCCTGCCTCAGTCTCCCGGGTGCTGGAATTATAGGTGCGTTCTGGGCATGTCTGCTTGTGGCTGGCTTCCTTCACCCACACTGTCGTCTGTACCAGTTCCTCATTGCTTCTTACTGCTAAATGATATTCTACTACATTAACAACACCTTTTTAGTTATCCGTTCATCAGTTTATGGACATTTGGGGTATTTATTTGGGGACTATTATGAATTATTATGAATGTCCACATATGTTTTCACTTATCTTGGCTGCACTTGTGCTGGGACACAGAGCCTGGAAATCTCAGCAGGTGCACCTGGACTTAGATCTACACCAAAACAGCTGGCAAGCCAGCCAGGAGGTAAGACCCATGCTGCTTCTGACTTCTGCCTTCCTCCTTAGCTCTCTCGTTTTCCTGAGCACTTGGAAGTGAACAAGCTCGCACAGAACGATAGTGCGGGGGCACCTCTCCCTTCCTGTCTTTTTCCCACAACCCATATGGCCAAGGGCCAATGATGTGCCTGATCCTCCTCTCTCACCCTCGTGGGATAGAAGTCAAGGCAGTGATGTTCACACTGACTGCTTATTGCAGAGCAGAGCAGCACTTCAGATTGCCTAAATCTGGGAAACCCATGGAGCTGACCACTGACCTCATGGGTGGCCATATAGCAGCCATGCTGGTACTAATAAAGACAATGCCACACTTGAAGGTTCCTGTGCTGTTGACAGTCATTCATCCATTTATACAGGCATAAGGTTATTGTGTAACTCAAATGCTGGTTTCTATACACCCCCCCCCCATATCTGGTTACAGTCCTTTATCCGAGAATCTCCTATCTCAATGTTGTATAATCACTGTTCCCCAATTGTCCCCTGATATGTTAATAAAGAGGTTTAACAGCAAATCGTTGAGCAGAGGAGAGACTAGGACTGGACTTCCTGCCAGCCAGGGAGGGAAGGAGGAGTTAGAAGAGGAAATTGGAGATGGCGCTATGGGAAAGGGTTAGATAACATCAGGAGTGGAGCTGGAGCAGGAAAAGCTACAAAGCACAAGTTTGTACACTGGAAGGAAACCAAATTAGTTTAGAAGGTTAAGAATAGAGTAATAACTGCTCAGTTATTGTGCCGTGAAGCTTATTATTAAACACATATAGAAGACTCTCAATTATTTGTGTGATAGCCAGGTTAAGAGAAAAACACCACAGAGCAGCTTGTTAGTTCTGTTCATTAAGAGAGCAGCTGCAGTTTCTAAGGGAGGCACTCGCAGCTTCCTGATTAAAGAGACATACCCCTACCCAGCAGAGCAGCAAGGCCTCCAGCTGGCTGCAGAAAAATGAAAACTGATACAAACTCCAGAGAAGCAGATTTTTTAGGAAGCTCTTTCTAAGAAAAAATAAAAATAAAAAGTGGCTCTTTAATAGAAGCAAGCTTCTCAAAGCCAGACTTTCCTAGCCAAGGCAGGAAGCTTAAATCCCTTTGAGAACCTTTGAGAACGGGCTTTTGCTGGCCTGACTCTTGCAGGCCAGAGAAACAAACACTTACAGACCCAATACCTTCCCAGAGTGGGGGAGGGGTCAGGATCCCTTGAGGGAGGCAGGAAAAAAAAAAAAAACTTCTCCCTGGAATCAGGAGTCAGAGACAAACTGAGAGGCCTCAAGCATCTGAATTGGTAAGGTGTAGAAGAGAAGTGGTTCTAAGAAAGTAAAGTCCTTGGGGAGAGATTTGGGGATTAAAGATTATTTTCTATGCTGAAACTGGAGGAAGACACAGTGGCGTAGTGTTTCTGGGTTCCATCTGAGTTTGTTTCTCTTTGCATATAAATAATTTTTTCAGTGATGGTTACAGTTTTGTGTATCCTCTCAGGGAGAGATCAGGATAAGACAGACTTGGGAAAAGAAGAGACTGAAAAATTAGATGCTAAATCGAAGGCCATAGAACAGAGACTGGAGGAATCTTTGAATCAAAATAGGGGACCTTCCAAGAAATCCAACTTGGGAGTTACAATAACACCAAAAGAGGTAATTCCAGATGAGGAAAATCCACAAAGGCTTGAAGAAATTGCAGAATGACAGCCCACTGATCTGATGGATAGAAAGGCTTTGGCTGAGGCTGGAGAGGTGGCTCAGAGGTTAAGAGCACTGGCTACTTTTACAAATGTTCTGAGTTCAATTCCCAGCAACCACATGGTGGCTCACAGCCATCTATAATGAGATCTGGTGCCCTCTTCTGGTGTTCAGGTGTACATGCAGGCAGAATACTGTATACATAATAAATAAATCTTGAAAAAAAAAGAAAGGCTTTCACTGTATTTTTTTTAAATATCTAACACAACACTATTTTATTTTTTTAATTTCTTGTGTGTTAATAGATAAAAGTTTGCAGATCTTTCTTTTTTTATTTTAAATTTACTTGTATTATTTTTATTTTTATTTTTTTCTTTATTAATTACACTTCATTCACTTTGTATCCCCTCTGTGGTTCTCTACTGGATGAAGGTTTATATGCTAAATTAGAAATGCAGATCATCTTTGGTGTTCAAGGTCATACTGTGTGCTCCATTTTGTAGAGTTTGAAGAACTGAAATATATATACCATGCCATAGGTTCATATACAGAATTCCAACGGGCTTTTGCTATAAATTCTGGATAGCATGATTCTAAGGTTACACATTTGTTAGAGATGGTGACTGTCTTGGAGATGCCTTTGCAAATTGGGAATGATGGTGCTTCAGCATGTACAAATATTGGAATACAACAATTTTTCAGACATTCTGAGATGAAATCTGTCACAGGTATAAACTACAATCCTTTAGGTCATGGAAATATCTAAAAATAATTTTAAAATGGGGTCATAGAACAGAAGAGGAGTACAATATCTCCCCAAAATAGATTAAATAATGATATATTGACTTTAAAATTATTAAATGAGACAAGTAGCACACCTACTAAGATACCCTGGATTTTAGAAAGGACTGCTGAATTAGATCTATAGGAAGATCACTTTTCTAAAAGTCTAGATTTGGGGTTAAGGATTGCTTATGCTGTGAAAAATGACTTGATTAACATAAACTTAAAGCTGACAAAAGTTACAAAATCATTTGTGTATTTGAAGTCTGTCTTTATATATGGCTATGTAAGCTGTACGTTGTCTCCATGTGCTAGTGGGATTATTTTATTGTTGTTGTTGTTGTGTTTTTCGAGACAAGGTTTCTCTATGTAGTTCTGGCTGTCCTGGAACTACTCTCACTTTTGATCAGGCCAGCTTTGGACTCACAGAGATCCACCTGCCTCTGCCTATCAAGTGCTGGGATTAAAGGCATGAGCCACCATGGTGTTTTTATATTGTTCAGATCCATAAACCAAAGGTGTTGTTATCCCAAATTCCTTTTAGATAATAGTGTAACTGGAACTGTAAAAGAGAAAGCAAGGGTATATGTGCCTGAACAGTACCAGTCAGGATGCAATTTACTTGCTATTTGTATCTGTTTGAAGTCTCTATTGTTTGAGTGACTAACCCAGCTTTCAGCACATGGGGACCTACTGCTCCAGGCCATGGCTCTCTTGAGAGATGTGGTTCTCTAGGCTCTCATATTCCCACAAGCCCAAAGCCCATCCATTCCTACAATGATTTATGTCTGTGCTTTCAGCTTTCCCT